AACGGAAGTGTGAAATTCGACTCTCAAGAGGAAACTTACAGACCGTCAAAATGACTACTTTTCTGAGCTTGAAAATATCCCCACAGTGTTGGACTGGAGCTCTGTTTGTCATCGATGATGCTAGCCCTGCAGCTTCTGCTTCACACTTGCAGAAAACTGCTTCCAGACTCGTATGCCTGCTGGGGTCTTGGAAGAGTAACTTGGCGCTGCACAACTATGAAATGCTCGAATCTGAGTTCATTTTACTCGTGACTTAAACTGATCAATCAGAATTCATGCCCAAATCGCGGCCGAAAATCCTGCCGCCTTGGTGATAGTTACTAACTTGCCTATTCTTTAGTAAGGAAAGAATTAGAGGAGCTCTTTACTTTGAACACCTAGTCTCCGCATTCAATTTTGTATTGTTCCGTTTCTTAATTTATTTGAATTTAAAGAAAATTCTCATCTTTTAATGCTTCTTTCAGGTCCTCATAGTCTGCAACTTCCTGTTGAGGGGGCGTGATGTATTTCACCAATGCCTCCTCTGAACCGCCTACCTGCATGGACTTGCCCAGTATTGTGCCTCTCTTTCTTGACTTTCTCTCAAACAAAGTCGGTTTAATCAACGAAAGTGCGTTTCCTTCTGCTTTTTTCATAACTTGGATTCTACTGAATGGACTCCACCGATGAATGGCATCAATACTTTGGTGCGGTGATCATTCTAAACTGTAGCAGTCCAGTCGGCAGATGCGTGTTCATGCCGTACCCCTTGCCTACATTACCAACATTAGAAACCCCTACTACCCAAGGTCTTACTTCTTGATTTCTGCAGTTGGGGTTCTTGAGAGCATTCCTATTTACTCGGAATACACCGCCTCGTGACAATTAGCGATGCAGTATCGTTCAAAGAACTCTCGGATGCTCTTGGAGTGAGTGATACATTACAACTTCAGCAAGTATGATTAAGGTTAATTCAATCCAAATTGGCTGGGAATTACCGCAGAACCTCGGAGTCCATTTAAAAGTGTCAATCCTTTAATCCACTCCTCAAAAGTATCACGGAGTTTAATCATGATTTAGATCTCCGTTTTTTTTCAAATCTTCACACTGTAAAAAATCTTAAATTATTTTTATCCTTCTTGAAAGAGGTAGCAAGGGGCCTATTGTCCCCTACATCTCTAAAGCCACCGACATCAGATGGAGCGAATTGAGGCCATCTCCCACTCCAAACATATGGTGTGTCTTCGTAAAAAGGGATCCTGAGGATCCCAGTGTCTGCAACCATTTCCAAAAAACATTTACAAGCTCTCTGACGTGGTCCCAAAATCTCCTCCTTTCCTGTTTGGAGTTATTAGTCAAGTCTGCAAGCCTCAACATTAAATTAAAGTCAAATTTGCTGTTATGGCAGAAAACCGCGTGATCCCAATGGTCGCGACTTAGGGTGGCATGTAACAGTGGAAGCGAAGGTGCAAAGCATGACAACATCATGAAGCGCCCTCCTGCTTAACAAGATCCCTAGTGTGGACTTGAAATCTCCTTTTCTGTTGACAGTTATTGATCTAGGCTGCAGCACAGCGCAAAGGACTTGCACAGTTTTGGTCCTCTCTAATCAAACTCGTTTTATCAGGGCGATGTTTGCTTCAGTTCAGTGACGCTAGGAAAGGAAAAACGCTAATTGACGCATTGTGTGGAGTGCTTTTTTCTAGAGTATTTTAGTTCTGACACCTCTGTGTCATCCACTGTACGTAGGGCTTTGAATCTTTCCAGTATTATCAATGGTAACGAAATTAACGAACTCGGGACTTTTAAGGTTCCGATATGGCTTTACCACACCAAGCTCATCATTAGTAACCGTTGTGGAGAAGAAAACTTTGGAAGGAAAATACTTTAAGAAACGCACAGTTGATACGCTGGAGTCGACATATTGCTCCAAATATCGCTGAATCAGTGGGCTATCATTTGAGTAAAAAAGGTTGTTTATTCACGCTTTACCCTCGCGGTATAGTCAAATTGGCGGTTACGTTAGGGAACGTTGTCTGATTCCAGTTGTTGCAGCTTAAGAAGGTAAGTAACAGTAGAAGCACCCTGCTTTCGAGGAATGGGGCTCAATATCCCAGTCACTGATTCAGTATCTGCTCCCACTTTTAGCTATCACCATATCGCATGGGTCTTGAGTGTAATTGTAGGCTTTTTTCCCATTGCTGCAAAATCAGTTATGACGGTGACACTTAGTGGTGATGCCAGTCATCAACTTGCCAAAACACAAGGAGGTTTTCTTAAGTATCTCTAGGCTGAAGATATTTGCTGTTGTCTGTGAAATTCACCGCTCTCAAACCCCCTTCGATTGTCTACCGTGCTTTGCATCATTTTGCCACTCCTTCCCAGTCCCCTTTAATGTTTTCACAATGGAGGTGAAACTTATGCGCCTTTTAGCACTTACATTTTTTTAACTCATCTCAAACCTAATTTCCATCTTTCCTAAATTTTAGTTTTTATTGCAGAGGAGTGCCACTTTTGAAGAGCTATCCAACCGGAGGGCATGATTGTTGATATCTCCAAGTTGGTTGACTGTGCAAAGAAACTACTAAGCGCACAATTTGTGCCACTCATCATTTGACCCTAAGATGGAAGGCCAAGTGTAGGATACGCTTGTCTACTGTAAGCATAAATGGTAACAATCACGGGGTGAGGTCATTGTTGGGTCGTCCCCTCATACCTGGAAAGTGGTGCTGTAAAACAACACGGTGATTGCGATTGAGGTGTCTCAAATGGTTGTTAAACACTTCTAGAAGGTTTATTTCATTTGTTTTTCAAGCGACTTGTTTTTGTTTAAACTACTGACGTGGAGTGATGGGATAATGATTTAAAATTCCCTAATCTTTAAGAATTAGAAACCCCGACTGCTTCTGCATTTGCTTCAGATAAAAAATTGATTCCATTGTAATGATATCCATTGTGAAGTTTTAATGATGAGAAAGGAACTATAGCTATTAATTTACAGTTTGAGCAATGCATGCCTGCCTCTCCTCTACTTCATCCAGGCGCATTCTCCCTTCCCTTACGGCTGAACGTGGATTTTCCCTGTTTTAGATGAGAGAGTAGGCAAAATTAGAGCCCCTAATATAAGATGCTTTGAACTTTGTCTGAAAATTTCTTCCTTCGTAAAGCTTAAAGCTTCCCTACGCAGTGACAGCGAGGTAAGAGTTAGTAAAAAACGTACACCAAAATGTACAGAGGTATTCCAGTAAATGTCATCAGATTGGATGTTGGTTGTTATTTCGGTGACGGCAACTTTTCCCAATCCCTGGGCAACTGGGTCACGCTGGCCACGCATATTCACCTTATCAGTTCGTCAGTCTGGCTACCAAAACCCACTGCTTCGTCATGAGGCAGACACGGATGGAAGGAATGCTCATAAGTTGTTTCATATCTCTTGCATTCGGTTCGTTTTATTGCAGCCAGCTCAACGCTAACCTAGCATCAGCAGTGGTGAAAAGAAGCGATTGAAGGTGAATCTGAACTACTGAAGTCAGCCTCCGAAACCCTCGGTGCTAGTGATTATTCGAGTAAATGACAATCTTTGAGTAGCGTGCAAAGTCAGACGTGTTTTAGCGTCGATGGATTAGATGCAATTGTGAGCTAGATCTTTCAGCCTTCATTTGACACCAATGTAAGGTCAAGAATTCTCCAATGGAGTTGAAGAGAGCATCAAGCATCAAATTTGATCATTTGAAGATATCAAGCAAGTCCGGAGGGTGGTATGGTTGAGCTGCACTACGGAAACATTCACAGGCCCTCAGATACATATTACTAGTTATCAGCAATGCTTTACAGCCACCTATTTCATGCGTAAAGTTTACTAAACTTTTGTGTTTCATCATCTTGAAGCAGGCAAACCAACTGCACCAAAACGAGGAAAAGGTATTCAATCCTAACCCTCAATAATTCAATTAGCTTTATTGCGGTGGGTTTTACTGCAATTTTACGATAAGGAGGAAGGATTGGCACCCCTGGATAAAATAGTTTTGGACTCCAATTTTGGCTCACTTCATTTTCTGCATTCGGGTGAATTTGAAGTTCAACTACCTCACCCTATTTGCATATGGGTTTAAAGCTCTCCAATGTCATTGCGAAAAAAAATTCGCGATATGCTTCATTGCATTGGAAACCGTGGAGCTCGTTCTGCTCAGTGAGGAAATAAAACTTAATGTGGGATTTTCAAAGGCGCTTTTTTATCCCACATTTCGGTGTGGTGTCGTGGGGTGAGTTATAAGGAGTCAGGGCCTAGATTTCTCTCTGGTGGGAATTCTAGCCTAATCACCCACACAGCTCCCGTAGTTGTTAACAATAATTCAGTTTTACTTCAATCCTTTTAATCTTTAATCGCAGGTAATGAGAAAGAAAGGCTCCCATGACCCCACTTGCTCCACTTATTCTCGTTTACCCATCTTCACACTGCTCCTTCTCTACCTTTGGCTCAGTTTACATTAACTCTAGTGAAGAAAATGGGAAAGACAGCGAAGTTCTATTGTTCGCCCTTATCACACTGGTAAAACTAAACTTTGGGAGAAATCACGATCATTCATTTTATCAGTTTCTAATTCTTTAAAGATTTTGGGTGTTTGACAGAAAAAGAGCCCCTGGAAATACTATGCAATGCATTCGACCAAATTAGGATGGACATATCACCCAAACGTCAAAATGATACGCATTCTTTTAGATCCAGAGAACATCAAGTATTGAAACTATTTGACTTAAAACACTCCAACTCAACTCTCTTATTTTCAACTACACTTAATGTAATGCATCTTATGGCTTCATAGTATTGGTGTAGCGCCGACAGCCCAGTGAAGAGCTATGAAGGATGAAATTTCCTCTTTGTGTTGCTGGTGCCTGCAGATTGCACCATCCATTGAGCTGACTTATCCCCATCGCCACTCATGATATGGGAAAGACACTTTGCAGTGGTGATGCAAGCGGTTTTACCAATCATTTAAGGGTTATAAACCTCCAACTTTGTTCTTCTATTTTAAATGTCAACAATGACGTAGTCGCTCTCACATCATGTGTTTCCACTGAATGGGGCTCCAAAATGGACTTATTCATCCGTTGCACGTACCATAATGACAGTGCTCGCCTTGCAAGCAATTCTTCAACACCTGAGCACCACATAACTCGGCTTTAAGTGTCGATTCGCACTCCAAAAGCCCATTTCTCTTCTGTTAATGAGTCGAGCTATCTGTCAACCCAGAGGACATTATGGAGCGGTTATCCCGCTTTCGAAATGCCTACTGTTAAACATTGGACCACTGCATATCCAATCGGCTTTCGTAAGCTTCTGTAAACACATCTTGGAGGCATTACCCATTTTCTCCTGAATCCTTGCAACTACCACTGTTTTGTCAGTCGAAGAAAATTTATGGACTTATTTATAACTAGGTATTCTGATCACTGCAGTACCCAAAACGATTAGCTAGCGTTTGTAAGGGTAGTTAAAACAGTTTAAACTCAAAAAGCTGCTGTTAGTTAATTTTGCAGTATTAAATGGAATTGTCTCAACTCAGAGAAAGCATTGAGGAAGGCCAGAGAGCATCCCGTAGGTTCGATTAAGTAGAAAGCCTCTTCGCAGTTGGAGGCGAAATCCATACAGCTTCTCATCCACCTCAAAACTGCAATTTTCGCTTAAAAGTGGATAAATTGTGGGGCCAATTGCGGAGGAGAATTAGTCGCCCCTTAGGTCTCCTTTGATCTCCAAGACAATTTGTCATTCAATTAGACGGCAAAGCATTTGGCTTGCGCTGGCATTGCTGGATATGGCAACAAACGTCTGCTAAGTTATTCCCATAACACAAAGGCCAGCAACAAATCTTGTGAAATACTTTGGAAGCATCAAATCAAATAGTATTACCAGAGAGCTTGGCGTGTTAATAAAGATGCATACAGAAGACCTGCCTTCCTCCTAAGTGGACACCACCTTCAGACCTGTACCCCATCACTTTCAATAATTGCGGAAATCACGCAGACACCATTCACTCCATAATCCCTTAATTATTTGAATGGAGGTAGATCATCATGGAACTTTGCTTCCTACTTCAACGTATCCGGTTTTACCCAAGGTTATTTCCCGTTTAGCCCTGTCTTGTGAAGGGTTCTGATTAAATTAGCTGCCTATTGCTACCTTCGGTTCAGCTAAAAGTGTTTTTCACCGTTGACCCTGAGTACTAGAGACAGTTGACGTATTCTAACCCATTGTAACTTTTCATCATATCTAGATAGCCTCCCTCTATGCCAGTGAGTGGTAATTACTCACCACATCGAAATGGAACCAGCGATAATGTAAATCTCGATAGGCCGGCCATTAATGTTGAAAAATAGTAAAATTTTCAAATAATCGGTGTTACTAGAGATCCTGGAAAACCTGACCACTAAGTACACCGTCGCAGGAAGGCATGAACCCCTACTGAACTACATGCTGATTCAGTGAAACTAAAAATAGCAATAAGCATCAATTGCCACAAACTTTTGACACGGGAAAAAGAATTGGCTCCAAATCCCAAAAGAATTTCTTGTAAAATATCCCATTATGTAGTGTTGTTAAGTAAATGGTGTGAGATATTCAAGTAAGAAATCGACCTTCATACTCTCTACATCATACCCCTAAAACATAGGGCAGAAGTCTGTACACAACCAAAGCAATAATAATAAACATGCAGATCTCACCACCACCATCAACACAGATGCTTGGCGCCTTCTTTTGATAGCATTATTAGGCAACAGTATAAGAGAAAAAAGTGGGGTAGTGAGGAGAGGAGAGGATCAGAGAATTGAGCAATGAGAAGAGGCGGGGAGACCAGCTAGAAGAAGTGGACAAGAGCAGAGGTTGAGCCGTCGCGCCAGGCCCTCAATTCTCCCCCGAGGGGGTGCGAGCATAAGGGGCACTCGTCGAAGTGTATCAACCACCGATCTATGCAGTTTCGACAAAAGGTGTGCTGTTGGAAGAAGGAAAAATGCTACATTATTAGGAGTCAATTGTTTGAATTGGTTTGCACACAATGCCAGTTCACTGTGAACCTGAAAGCGCTTAATCATCAACCCTAAAATGCTTGGGAGAATTTGTAAAAGTTTTTGAGTATAAGCTAAAGTCCCTCTTGGTAAACACTGACTCCGAGGTGTTCCAACAGCAAGAACTGGGCTAAAAAGCGATTCAATGGGGGGCGTTCAATTTTTTACGATTCTGATCCTTTTTCCACTTGAACAGCCCGAGAACAAACAGTTAGTGAGGATGATGCGCAAGTAGTGGCAGTGGAGTTATAGACATCTCTACCTCAAACCCCTCATGATTCAACACCCGAGCTTAGCTTGAACAAGTGTCAAGTGTTGATAGGTCTTGCTATGAAAAGAAGGAATTCTTACTGACACAGCCACACAGTGGATCCGGACGGGAGGTTAGAACAACACAAATGTTCATTAAGACAGTGCTGGGCCAACATCACTTGTTTCAGCTTCAGGAGATATGACAAATCTTCTGAAACCACCAGCGACTTCATAATTTGGCAAGCATTAGTTTCAACGTATTCGACTGGTAGAAGTGCAGCTAATGAGTGATTTGATACACAACGCTCGTAGTGAATGCCCCCATTATCAACTACAGCGAATTGGTTGGTAAAAGTGGCGTCTGGGTGAATTGTGCCTACCACTTAAATAGCATTGTATGGCTTGAATCGCAAAGTGGGCTGGAGAATTCCAAGTGCTCCGCAAAATGGATGAGCAGCACCAGAAAACAAACTGAAACTGAAAATTTAACTGTATTTGTATGGCACTTTAATGCCACAGCAGCGTCATCCATCACAACGTGCGAGTGAATTTGTTAATTAATCATTTGCGGTGGATGGAAAGAAGAAGGTATGAAAAAGTGAGCTTACAACGTTTGTCTCTAAATTTCAATCAACCAGCTTCACTCCCAAAGTATTAGGTGTTTGATTAATGGATGCGCAATACTTTGGCCAAGGCTTTGATGGGTCCTTTTGGGAAAGACCTCTTGGGCTGATTCCAAGGTGGATGATGCTTCGGTTCAAGTAGCTGTGGAGGAAGTGATGAATGTGTCTCCTTTAGGCTTTACAGAGACGAAAGCATAGTTTAGTGTGGTTTCTATTTCAAGAGAATAAATCGTCGAGGCCAATAATCTTGGAAATTGCTCCAGTCAGATGAAGGAGTATCAGAGAAGAAGCAGTCGCCCCCACGTTTCTGCCCTTTTTTATCATGGTGCAACGGATGACTAAATCACTACTTCTCATCATTCTGTCTTGATGGTAGATTCTTTAGCACAGCAATACAATGGGTAAGTTTTATGGCAAAACAGTGCGCGAACAGATATGTACCACGAAAAGTGGGCGATGCTGATTTGAACGTTCAGTACTGCGCCAGCATTATATCATGGCTTTATAAAATCAAGTCAGCCTTTTGAAATGTCATCCAATTTAAGAAGAAAACAGAAGGCGCAGAACTTAGTTTTAAAATTTGCAGGTGCCAATCTGATTCTGCCTCGTCAAAGTGTTGGACGGTGGGATGTGGCTAGCGAACGGCGCTAGTCTGAAAGCGGTCGAGGCGGAAAAAACGGATGCATTCATCTTGAACTGCCCGAAGTATTGTCTTTACCATTCAAATAACATCGAGGGAGTTAAAAAATAATTTATCACGCTTGAAAACTGGCTCTACTCCGTAGCACAAACCAAAACGGTCTTCCATTTCTACACTGTACGGACAAACTACGTCAGGTCATCAATTTGCCGCATGATAAATTCACTGTATTCTTTTCATCCCACCGGCCAAAATAGAGAAAAGTGTCTAAGCTCAGATACCGTATGTCTGTCCAGCGATCTGGCGCTGCACTGACATTAACCATTATAGCTTCAAGTGGCCTGTTCATTCATGTTCAGTGGATGAATTAGATGAAATGTATAAATAATCTATGACGCCTCCTAATATAAACGACAGCCTCGCGCAGCACTTCTTCAAACACAAGCTACAAATAGGCATGGAAAAACTTATTACTCGCTGTATCTTCCCAAGTTTAAACTACGATTTCGCTGTCTCTCTCCCGACTCCTCTGTCGCCATCCCACACAAACAATTCACTGTTTTTGACACGACGAAAGCGTCGTGGTTATCTAGGCGTGTACGACACCACCAGTTTATGAGACATAACAAAAATCAGGCATTGTGTATCATCTAGCCTACCTAAGCTGTGGTATCTGATACCGCCTACATGTCACCATGATTCGTGTCATCACATGCAAATCGTCGTCGTAATGCAAGTAAGCGTGTGTGTTTCTGCACAGCCTTGATGTGCAGTTGTGCCACCCTGACCACCTTACCACAACACTCCTTGAGTAAACGCAATTACCAGAGCTGGAGTTTCGTTATCTGCCTCTACGGAGCCATCTTATCCACGTGATGCAGATAAAATCGCCCCATGAAGTATCAGGATTTGCTGAGTGCTGTTCCCTTCAATCTTGTCCCTTATCAATTTGTAAATGTCGTAGCTTGGAGTAAATTGCCGTTGGCTGACAGGCACTAATTCCATTCCTTGGCCTTGTTAAGCAAAAAAGTAATACAAACTACATAAATCTGTAAGAAAGTACAAAACTCCGGATGTGGATCCCATCACATCTTCAGGTCAACAAGTCTTTGGTAACTATGTCGATCGGAATTGCAGCAGCATTCTGGCGTCTGATCAATCAAAATTACTTCTTTGCTGTCAGTCTATTAAGGGAGTCACTTGTGCGAAACAGTTTAAGGGACTCACTGGGGATTTCTTTTATTCAATGAAGCGTTAAGATCGGCCTCGTCTCTTTCCCCTTAACCAAGAAGCTTAGATAATCGAGTAGTTGGGAGTTGCATTTCTCAGCCTTGTAGAGAAGAATGTTGCACATTACGTTCAAGGCATGGATCTTACTTCTTTTTCTGGTAAGCAGTAAATATACCAGTCGTGAAAAGGTGACGTGGAACAGTAGTGGAAACACACTGTTAAGCAGGTCACTTGGCGTGAAACCGCTTGAAGTACTGCAAGCATTGCTAAGTTTTGTCCTCAAAAATGTATTGAGGGTAGCCCAGTTAAAGAGGAAAAGTACACCAAACAACGCCCAATGGAATCGCGTTGAGGTTGGTGATGTCCGCTTTAATTATGCAGTCCCTCGTGCTCCCACCTGTATGCCACTTACCCGTGTCAATGATAGCAATGCTGCTCATGGGTTATTGAGAGGCAACCCAGGACCTGCAGCTTGTGAATGCGCGTCCGCTTAGTTCATAGAGGAGCAGACCAAATGGACGGTTAGAAAGGGTCGTTAATTTAACCTTCCTAGCGCCGGCTACCCCTAAAGACGTGATAGGGCACGCGAGTCTGACAGAAGGCTGGGAGATTAGTAGTCCTAGGTGGCATAAGCGGGACCCTGTACCACCATCGCTGAGGTCTAGCCACACCAGACTGAAAAGGGTCCTGCAATCGTGTTTGTAATCAAAAATGATATTTCCTTAAAATATGAGTGAAAATTGGGCCTATGTAATTTTCGCCACACTTGAAACACCTATGTTGTGATCGACGATGCTCTCTTAAAAGGAAATCTCTTTCTTGGCAGGGAATGTAAAATTACCAACTTCATTCGAATCGCGTTAAGCGTCTTTTCAACCCGCTGAAATTGTTAATAGCAGTACTTTTGGGAAAGAATAGGAAAGCAGTCGTTTCCTCTGCTTAACCACTGCTGTAATATTTTTGAGATTTCCGTCAGATTAGTTTTTAAAAAAATGTCGGCCCCAAAGCTGCGTATCCAGAGAAAGTTACCTTGTGGTTTCATCCTACTTTTTATTTAAAGGTCGCCATACTTAATCTACAACTAACATGAAGTTAAAAAACTTCGTGGATCTCACAAGAAAGCTACGATTTCACATGCAGAATGTAACACACATTACAAACTACCAAATTCATCGACAATTCTTACATTCTGCCAGAAAGTGTTTCTTCTTGAGATATATCAAGTAAATCGGCTTGAAAAATAGAGATAATACATAGAGATTTGAAAAATTGAAGTTTTCTAGAGGAAGAAAAGTATCTAGCTCTTCCCTCTACGTGACACAGTCATTTTCAGTTTCAAACCCCATTAAACCCACCCACTCCTAACTGAGTGTGATTGTGTGGTACAAATGAGTCTCAACCATAGTTAGAGGATTTAAAACTAATGCAAAAGAGGTGGATTCATGACTCTCCGGCTTCATAGAAGATAGCCTCGAGGCGTCCTTGAAACCGTTCCAGAACGCCTCCCGTCAGGAAATGGATGTGAATGACAATGTGTACTCACAAACCAACTTGACACAAATTTACAGATTGCTGCCAACTCACTCACCCCATTTCGGCTACTTTTTGAACACCTGGTAGACCCGGGAGATAGGGGGGTCATATAATTACTTATTTTGACAGCCCCCACCAAGGCGACTTTTCACTTAGGCTCTTTACTCTTGTCCACTGTAGGCATGTCGATGGTTTGATGGTGAGCACAACCATCCACCTCGCCATTGGCGCTCGCTATCAGAGTCTCGGAGGCAAATCAGCCACCACAGATCATAAAAGATAGGCTCTGCTTAAAAGCATTTTGTGCAAAGTCTAGGAAAAAGTAGCTATCCTCAGAGCAAGAAGGATTTGAGAAGGAAAACGCGCTGCATGTACATGATGCCAATCATGTATGCACTGCTATTAGAGTTGACACGTTGTATACACGAGAACTGGGACCAAGTTAAACAATGACTAGTCTTAGTGACAGCGGTAGGCACAACTATCTCAAACTACAACTAGCTCAGCAGCAGCAACAGCAAGGCTTTGCATGATTACCATGACAATAATGACGCATCATTTGAATCAACCAGGCATATAATCCATGCCTGTCTTGGCCTATATTGGCTACAGTAGTCAAAGAGGAAGCTACTTCAGCATCGTAATCCAATCCGCCTAAAGATCTGCCCCCATCTGAATCGCCTTCCACGGTGTGTGAAGTGTTCGACTCCTGGGGTCCACTTGCACTAGAGGGCATGTTGCATTCAGGTGAATATTGGTCGAATTAGACCGAAGAATCCAACCTGTGGTAGGGGTTCAAACAGTCACCATCCCTGAGGCACAAATACCACCACACATGTTACGCCTTCAAGCCGTCACGTAGTTGAACATCTGCCTCTATTGTTCCACAAAGCACCAAGAACTCACATTGCATCCCAAAATAGCGACATCCCTGCTGCGCTTCTCTAAGCAGAGGTTGCACAACTCCTGGTCCTCCAACGAGCTCACCACATTAGTTTGATAGGGCTGTAAGTGACGAAGAAAATGAATAGTAACAACAACAACCACAGCAGCTTATAACCACTTGTAAGCAGTTTAAAAGGTACCAGTGCGAATGCATTTGGTTTGAAGATTGGCCAGATGGAGGAGATTACTGTCGCCAAGGCAACAAGCTGAAAAAAAAAACATAACTAAGTGCACCAAATTTTGCACTGCTTGATTGCGATTGCTTCGAATATAATCACCGTTCTTTCTTGTGCTAGGCTAAAAGTTTATTTTCGGAAAACTATTTTAGGTTCGCTGCCGGATTTGACTGTTCTGTACTTAGAAACGAGTCGGGGAAACAACAAAAATTCATGCAGTTCCAGAAGGAACAGCAGGTATAAAATGTTCCATCCGTAAAAGCGGTTGCAGAAGTGGGGAAAATCTCACTCATTGATGAAAACAGCTGTTAAAGTAGTTGCTCTGTCTATCCACTTTCATCACCTCGAAAAATAGTACCGCCAATCTATTAAAGAGCTTTTCAGCCCTGTTCATTTCAACGACTGTGTCAAGCATTGCACTTTAAGTTTTTTCATTCTTCAGTCACTAGTTGCAATGTCATATCTCCGAGCCAGTTCGCTGTGTACACTTTGTTTATCCATGTAAGAATTAGTTGCAGAGCTGTGATTACATTTGTACAGAATCAAATAAGTGGAGTGAGATGAAAAGGCGCAAAATGGAACGCTACACACGGTATTGGTAAGTACCAAATGCGTCCTCACAGAAGTAGTTTGCCCCTCGGGACACCCCTAACCAAGACGGCAACGGTAGTGCATGCGTCCATAGAATGGTGTGCACGGTGGACCTGAGAATATCTTTCAATGGATGACTTCAAGCACAATGCGGTGATAGGACACTTAGTCGCTCAGAAGCAGGCCATTTGAATGGCGTAAACTTCACAAAGACGGCCATACATCCCTCAGTGATGATTCCAGCCGTGCCGATTCTCAGCCCACCACGGTAGTAGTCATTCCCGTGCCGCCCCTCAGTGGAAACGGTAAACATAGTCATTCACAAGCATTGCCGCTTTTAACCAATCTTGAAAAAGCCTTTCGAGAAGGTCAAAACTTCCTGGGTGTGTCATTTCACCCTGGTTTTAAAATGAGCACCAAAGCAGTCGAGGTGTGTGGATTCACCAATGATCATGAAACTCCCTACTTTTCAACACACACTTAAAAACCCCTATTCAGCTCAGACGTTCCGTGTAGCAATAATTATCGCCACCCATGAGTTCCTTTGCCTGTCGTATTTGCTACAATATTATCAAAAGACTGCATCGCTTTTGGAAAAGTTGTTTCTATTCTAGCGTATGAAAGTGGCATGACCTGTATGAAAACAACAACGGGTGCTTGTCAATGCTGTTTCACTTAACGATTCTGTCAAGAGTTGCACGGCCGCTTTTCAGTTGTCGAATCAAACATCTACCTGCAAAGTCCACGAACAAGTGCCTCGTGCAAGGTGTGGAATCAGGCTATAAACAAGAGTGTTGGCTTTTGCTTTTTCTGTAATTCACAGTTTCATACAACAAAGTTTGTTGTTCTAGTTCATCTTAACCAGAAATGGCGCAACTTATTCCCGATTTCATTAGAGAAAAATCCTTTTTCAACCAAAAAAAACTGTAAAGCAGAGAAAAACTACAATCAACTAAGAACCGCAAGAATAGGATCCGGAGGAGTTGATTGGATGTTTACAGAGCTGCTTACGAATCGCCAATGGCAAACACAGGCTCTTTTGATCTACCTAGGTAGCTAACAGAACCGCACCTTGAGAAGAATGTAGAGAAGGCAGAAGACGATTCGAAAACCGAGTGAGCGAGTGAGGCCGTCGGTGAGATGGCGGATCCACGTCACCGCGGGTGGAACGCTGCGATAGAACTGAGAGATGAACTCCATCCACACGAGAATGGCACTCTGAAAGAGACAAGGGGAAAGTGGTGACGTATTTACCGATGTGTTTGGTAGCCTTTGAATGGTATACACTTTGAGCCAGCATTTAAGAGCATTCTAGGGTTAAAGTAGATTTCCTCAGCCCTCTTTTCACCCAAGTGTAAGGCTTTAACCACCAGCCAGGGTGATTGTTAGACTTTTCTGAATGTATTTAAGAAGAGAAGAGCCTGTGGCCATTGTTGAGGCACTTCTCCTTTCATTTGTTCCAACACTAACCTCCATAAAATCCAGGCCTTCATCGGCAAACGATCGCTGCTGATCGGTGATGTTCATTTCAAATCAGCTCAACGCTTTAGTGCAGTTTGGCTCGCCAAGACACCAGCTTCAAGTCCTACGCCATAAAATGGATGCAGTTCTGACGCACTAGAATGTTCTTCAGATCTACAAAAGGTGTTTCCTAAGCAAAATAAGCCTTCTACGCAGCCCTGTTTAGTTTGATTATTCCAAAGTGATCATGTTAAGCTTAGCTCCGTTAGTTAGAAACGTTCGAGATCCGCTATAACTGGGAGGCCATTAGGAGGGTTGAAAAATGTCATATTCACGACAGAGAGAACACGTTGACATCTGCCATTTATGGTGCCGTCACACATTGGGGCTTCAGGTGTTTGTATGAGGCTGCCTCTCCCACACAGCCCCACTGATTCAAAAGTAAACGGTTGCGGCACTACTCTAATGAGGTTCCCTAGCTCTATTTGTTTCAACTACACGGACTGTCACGTTTAAGGCATTATAAAGAGCTACTAAGTAGCCTCTCTACAATACCTAGAACGCATTGACATCAATTATTGAGGGTGCCACTTCTAAGCCTTGAATTGAAAGAGTTGTCTGTAAGAGATCTTAAATAATTCAGCAAGGCTGTTTCTTCTCACGTAGCTCCTATTAACTCCAAGCATTACTATCTTTGGGAAGGCACGTCAAGACCACCACCAACATGGACCATTTGAAAAGCGCCAGAGTTAAATCAATGCGGTAGAAATGGCCGACGGTAGTTTTACGAAGGCAAAGGTAACCTTTAAGCAATCACTCGCCTCACTTCTACGCTTCAACACTTCATTATTCTTTTAGGTGTAGCCCAGGCATTATATCGGAGGGCACGTCCAACGTCATCTAATCCCTTCGACAATGACACTCTATACACGCTATATCCCAAATGCAATCATTTTTTTAGTTCTTTCCCAGCAAGATATACTAATTATGTCAAAATCTGTCTCCTCCTTGCTACATCTCACTTCCATTCTCGCGATTTCAAGACATGCGTAATTATGGTGCTCAATTAGAAGTCTCTACCACAAAACTCGAAGTGCATGTTGTTTTTTAGGAGAAATATGCCCTTACTTGGTGCATAATTCACTTCACCGGATGCGTCCACTCTAACAGGCCTTAGCGACGTATCAGAGGTTATTTTAGTACAAACAACTTGCTGTTTGAGTTCGCTTCTTGTGTCCTTTTTGAGTATAAGAATTTCCCTCCCCTACTTCCGCCTTGATGCAAAGCCAACTTCATAAAGTAATTTGCTTTAAGTAAAATCTTTTCCTCCTGGGGAAAAGCATTAACTACAACGGTATTTCATAAATCATCATTAAATCCTGATTCCTAATCATACATGGGAGAACTATAGGAAAAGCAAACCTTAGAATAAAAATATAGAGTTGAAACAAAATAAAGCGCCTGCTAGTAGCGTCACATATACATAGTGCCCTAATTTTTCTTGAGACCGCGAGTCACAGATGTGTAACACGTGTTCCTTAGAGGACTACGCGGCGTTCTCTTTCCCAAAACAGAATACTTTTTTATGCAGAGATTTCTGGAAGTTGATGCCTGTGTAAATAATGGCCCTGTGTTGGTACATCCTCCTGCGATACTGCAAAAGGTATCACAGGGGAAGTATCTGTTTCAAACAGAAATTAAAGAAAATATAAAGCAGTTACCTAGTTTACTACATCATTGACAGAAGTAATTTCAGTCCAAAATAAACGGAATTCTGCTAAAAAAGCAGCCATACATATCTTGCCTTGTAGCTGAAAGACACTTAGGTCGTAATAAGCTGCCTGATTTTCAAACTAAGCGACTATAAACCTGGCGTAGATGAATATCGCAAAGAAACTTACTCGTGTCGAAATGTGAAAGAAGCGCGGAGAGAAATAGATAAGGACGGATTTGATGAAGATGGTGATTATCTTGAGACTAAAGTCCACCACTATCACCGCCCACAGGAGGGAAACCCAATCGCTGCTTGGAATAGCATTCGGCATGCAGAACAAACTAAATGCATAAAACGCATCAACAGCAAATATGACTGGATGGGGTAAATGCTGTATGCATTCATTTGGTCTGGTGGGTAAACTGCTGGTGATGATAACTTTGTCGCCAGCTTTTACGCCGACCGGAAGCGAAGGGGCCCAAAAAACGTACATTGAAGGGGATTCAAAATCAGGAACGACATTTTACACAGCTTTCTAAGTTACAATCTATCTTCCCCTACGAAGAGATAAGGCATATAAGTGCCCTCTGAATCTCATCCCTCGGGAATAGTTTTGGTGAAGTTGTAGCGATGTCGTGCCAGAACGCTGACCTCTTTGTGAGGATTTACCATAGTCGAATAAGAATAAATACTTCAAAGATAATTTAACATGGTTGGCGTCAAAATCTGTGAGTAAATGTGACTACTACATCTTGCACAAGACGTTTGTTGTACAATTATGTCGCGCAAAAGACTATGAATGTAATTGTCCTCACACTATGACCATGCGACATATTGTTTTAGTTTAACCTCAGCCAAGCTCTATTTGACAATGATTCGGTAGCAAACCTTACAAAGCCGATAGCAAACGTGTTAAGCTGTCTACTTAACACCAAACTGACACCAAAAATATCGCATTATCAATGCTTGGTTGTTATGTTCAATCATCGTCATCCACTTAGTCGAGCATTTTCACACATTCAATATCATCGAATTGGCACCAAAAGACTAGTCCTGCAACCAGTTTACTCCTTTGTAGGGAAGTATTTATTGGCTTGAAATACAGTCCATCAATTTTCACCTTGAATTTGGCCCAGGTCTCTTGCAAAAGACCAGCAGCAGGCTACCCTAAATAAACTGCAATCGGAAAGCAACACTTTCCTTCAAAACCGTGATGACAAATTCCAAAAATGCGAAAAGAAACAGTCAAGAATAGGTAAGACTTTCGGAAAAATCTCAAATCTCAGAAATATTATTCAGTAAACTCATAAATGCTTTAGTCAATCAGATTAGAAGACCTCAAAAAATAACTGAGAAACGCGCGTTTGCTTTTATGACGGCTGAAAAATCTGGATTATATCGTTTACTCCCAGACAGTGTACCAACCGAATGTCGGAAATTATATCCTCAATTAGTCTTGATTAGGAGAATAAGGCCAATAAAAACATACCCGAGGTAGATTTCGTTTTTCTTGAAGATCCAAACATTATGCATAAAAATGAGAGTAGCGCAGACTATTACTGATGCCACAAGAGCGTATATAGGAGGTTCAAACTAAGAGAAGACTCATGAATATCCTATCAACATACACCCTGAGTTGCGTTAGTAAGCCGCGTGTTGAGGTAGTAGGAGCTGACAAAGAGCGACACTAACACCCAAAGGCCTAGGAAGGTAGTAAGAAGGAGGGGTGTGAAAACAAGACTTACCAGTGGAATGAAGCACCGCTTCTTTGAGTAGGAAAAGGAGGAGGAAAGGAATGACAATCCAAAGAGGCCTGAGATTTCTGGAAATTACTTCATCAGGGTTTATCTTCGGTTCATCTTGTTGACAGTATCTGTGATTGTGTAGGTGGGGCTGGGGATAGTCGCATTCGGAGTGCACTTTGTGATGAGAGTGGCAGTGTCCATGACTGTGAGAGGGTTTAGCATCACCCGAAATGGCTTGTGTCATGTTCTCTTGGTGGATGAGCGTCAGAGAGAGGAGAGAAATTCACCACTTACCTATCGAACCCAAATATGAGGACGCTTGTGCTTTATGGTCTGCCATGTAAGTGGTTTCCAGTCTGAATCTGAAAGACGGAGCATTAGCAATACCATCCATTATCTCAAAACTTGGAAGGATTGCAAAATAGTGGATTAACTCACTAGAGCCTTAGCCCATATTAAGTCAAATAAATACTTTAAAGGCAAGAGATATTTCTTTATGTAACCAGTAGGGATTTTTGCCACAAAACTAAAAATGTTTTGTCTACTCCAACTTAACTTCAAAGGCGAATCCAGTTTTTAATGCTATTTGCTGAATACGTGACCGGTTAAGCAGATTGCTTACGTTGACAATGAAAAAGTAAGCACAGGGGAAAAGTACTATTCCAACAAACATGATATGTCAAAGCTGGGGTGCAGTGATTAATAAAAAGTTTGTTATACACGTGTTGCGGAATAATATGCAATAAAAAGATAATGGAGATGGCTCAACAAATCGTAATATATTTGAAAACACAGGTACTGTAGTACACACCTAATAAAACTGCGCTCTGTGACCTTCAAATTCCAGCGTAGCGCGTTGTCATGTCAACGCAAGGGTGATTTATAAATTACAGAGATGTTCTACAGCATTATAGTATTTAAAACGTGATACAGCAGAAAGAGTATAAATAAATTATAGAGGCTGTTCGGTTTGCCCCGCTGGTTCCAGAGTAAGTATCGGTTACAAAGCACAAGACTAAGTAGTAAATTTTGTCTTTTCTTCCATCTTCTTCGATGACACACAGGTTACTAGAAAAATCGGTATTTTAAAAACAGGAAGTGCTGCTTGAAGTTTGGTCTGCACAGATAGCAACAGTCCTGTAATGATTCAAATTCTTCATTTACTTCGGGGACTACCTAAGTTGCTAGAGTCATCAGGTTCGGTAGCTTCTTGCCCAAACTTAGCGGTCCAGAAGATGTCTATTACCTCAGCAAAATATAATTTTTGTTCTTTGCATTTTTAACATGCACCTAGTACCGAATGTCACCCCATGAACATGAATGCAGGATCATGCAAACCTTGTTTTGCATGAACTTTTACCTGAAATTTGTGATTAGTCAGTACATTTAGAATGTTCCGATTAAACACTTTCCCTTTTTCGTTTGACCCCTAACCATTATCGTTTTTTAATCTACACCTATGAAAACATGCCATTGTTTCCATTTCCGTAAACCAGCTACCGATGCGATAAAATTGGGCAATACAAGGATTATTCCTTCAATGCTTCGCTTCAGCAATTCAAAGTCCTTTGTATTTTAAGTATTATCTTCCTTCCCTAAAAGGAGTTTTTATTCTTTGCATTTGAACCGATGCTTTAGTTCGAACACTGGACAGCCTAGCAAATATGGGACATTAAGAGGTACAAATTTCTGTTTGTTCCTCAAATTAATGATTCCAAAATTTATTACGAAGGCGTAATGCTTCACATTCTTACCCACGTCCGATTCAAGCAAAATAACTCACGTTTATCTAAATTCCACAGCGGTGCTAGGTTTTACTTCCTAACTTCAGAAACCAAATGCTTTTAGTGCTAGTATGTATGGGAATATTTGCCAGTCGATTTGCCTAAGAGCAACTCTCCACTGCCAATTACCGACGCATTCACATCAAGCAACGCAGTATTTTCTACCTACCTGCCTTCTTGTCTGGCACCAGTCTTGAGAAGCTTGACTCATGAACACGTTCAGAGATATTCGAGTGTTTGGGTGTTTTTACTCCCTAATTTCTGTGAGAAGGTGGTCATAAATGAACTAGATTTTACTGGTAGAATAGTGAGTGTTGTGAGAAAGTGTGTAAGCCGTGGGAAGGTGGGTTGATGGACAGGTTCACCTGTTATTGCTCCTCTTTCTGCAAACTGTTGAATACCGTAGCCAGATATCAGGCTCGGTGCTGTGAAATTCCCTTTTGCATAGCAAAATGCCATCGGTTTTGCTCTATTCATGCCATTGTAGTGGTGCAGTGGAGACGCTTTGGCGTTTCAACTGAACACTGATTTGGTGTAAATCAGTTTATTTTAATTTGAAATGAGTAAATCGGTTTCAAGGTATATTCCGTTCCCTATCGTCAATGGCGATGCTGAGTATTTGGTTTCCTAACCACCGCCTGACATTTTTCGAAAAGTTCTTCAACACCCAATGCCTAAAGTACGGTAAAAGTTATATTTGTTCGGTCCGCATTAAGTAAATCTTCATTGTCCATAATTTGACCGGTTGGAAGTAGTTTAAATTTAAAGGAAGGAATACCACACCGCTGCAAAAAAAAACTTATTTTTTAAGTCCGCGCATTTGTTCGAGTCCACTTGACCTGCAATGCGGTGGTCATTTGTTTAGCTCTTCGCGTTGATTTCGCGGGCACCACTTAAGGCCCCGCAGATTGTGCTTCTCGTGGGAGGTGTAGCCTCCGGGTCAGGCCAGAAGGATCTCCCCAGCCCTTCTGAAAGGCGCAAGGAGCTGCAATTGGATCTTCAGTACTAGCCCTCTGGCCTACACCCACCCTTACAGTTAAAATGCTCAGTCGATATGACAACGCCTCTTATCCACTTTTAACTGTTGCCCTCGTGTGTCTAGCTGCTTCCAGGTTTGCTCAAATTTATCTGCCATGAATTGGAGTTTCGAATCGCAAATGAACTTTTGATAAAAGATTTTACTTTGCACACACCCGTCGATTTTTTTAAAACGACTCACCATTCTTCTTGACTTGATTTTTTATCTGCGTCATATCATGAACCAGATGGAATGGCGATAGTTAAACGAATGCAGAAACGCATTCTAGGTCAAAATTCCTTCAATGTGCATCAAACCTCAACTACATTTGCCATTTTTTCAATCATTAGATTCGTAATCTTAAGACAAAACAATTGCTTCTCAATAAAATGTTTACTTTTAGTCCTTACAATTATAAATTTACTACTTGTTGATGGCAGTTACTCGCGTAGGAAAATTTAATGGCTGGTAAGACTAATACCTCAGATATTTATCTTTAGTGATTTTATATTTCGAGTGAAAAAGAAGGTTTAAAAATCGCCTTTGGATGGGATTTAAAAGCCGAGTTCAACTGTCACACTATTATTTCATTTTCTTTCCTCCTCCTCAATGCAGCTTTGTGATGGGTAATTAACAAAATACAAGTGGTTTCCTTCGAGTAGGTGAAGCTACAAGGCAACCAAGTAAGTTGGTGTGGTTTAAATAACAAAGGTTGCAGCGCTGGGAAGGGCTCGGTGAAGTCTTTTGTCTTTGAAATAAGCGTCACTACAATCTATCTCTTCTATGGAAACGTCTGTTTCTAGAAGGTAAAATAAACCCTTAGTCCCAGTGCTCGAAAGCTATGCTTTCCTCATTAATACCCAGTAGAAAATTCTAAGAGAAAAACTTTTTCCTTGTTCTCATTTGCTGGAGTTTCAATTGGGAGATTGTTTAACCCGTTTGAGACTAGCGTCGTAAAACCTTGACTTACGGATCCAACGTCACAAATAAGTGACAAATATTCTGGTCACGCAAAATCGCGCCCGACAATAAGATTGATTTGAGATCCAACCGGTAAACAGTGTTGAATATTCTCGGTTCGAAGATATTTGCGATTCTGAGTTTTATAAGTAGAAGTTAAATTGGTCAGAAAATTAATGACTTTCAGGATCATATTGGAGCAATAAATGATCTGGGCTGTGTAAGTCGATTTGCCCCGAGATCCTGGTAGCAAACCTGTTAGCTACGGACTTATAGGGCACACTTCAGAGCCAGTGATTGTACATCTTCCTTAAATTGCACCTTGGACTAAACAAGTTTAGGGAGAAACTTATTTCGAGTACGGTAATTATCACCCCTTCCCTTAGTAATCCTTGTCAGAAGACACTACTTTGAAAATCAACACTGTTCCTTGGATGAAGCATCAGCAGGTGGAATGTTCTTCAAACGGCGCAATTCCCCGAATGGTTTACCTAAATCATTCCCTTTGTTGATCACTCAAACGGTAACTGACAATTTTTTTATGGCGACGGATGGGTAGAGTGTCGTATGCAACCTTTGATTAAATTGGTGGCTAATGTTGGGAGATGCGGTGCCACTATGAACTCTCATAAACCAATTTATTTATATACCTTGCAGAAACCTTGACCTGTTTGGTCTATCATTCTTCCTCATTGACTGGATTTCTAGCCCAAGATATTGACAAACTATCACCCCTCAATCCTACCTTACAATCGACTTACAGAAAAATTTAGAGATAATTATTGTGCCACCAGCGTGGGTGCAACTGGAATCACGATGACCGATGGAGGCACATTGGAAATGCAATGACAAAAGGTGGAATAATTCTTTCAATTTAATGTCGCGATAGCGTAAAATTTTTTTTTCAAATCCTATCATAATCTGCTGAAGAATAGCCCGAAGGAAATCAAAACAGACACGTAGGACGTGGGCTATCCATCTCCTTTGCCCCCTCGTGCCGCCCCCCCCCCTTAACCCTTTTATAGCCACAATCCCTTGTGGAACGGTCAAATGATGTGGGGCTAACGGGTGTCAGCTATTTACTCAATTAGGCTGGGACAGAGTGGAAGTGGTGGTGGCGGGGGGAACGGAGTGCGATCCCCACCTGACCTCGATTTTGGCCAATTAGAATAATAAACAGCAGGTGAATCAATAAAATGCTGATGCATGCGCAGTGGACAATATTGTGACAAGCCGTTTTGAGGTTGTGTGTCCCTTCATTATTTACATATGCTTTCCCACTTGTGATGGCTTTTATGCGTGCTGTGCAAAATTCGCTAAATTTCAGCATGTTAGTGTAAACCTTAATGCTTAACACTCTGTTAATAACTTGATCAAACGCAAGAACTTGACGATGTAAGCAGAAAAAAATAAAGAATTTCCTAATTCTCAAGCATTAGCTTGAGGAAAACTGAAGCAAATCTTTAGATAGCCTTCTCCTCAGGCGATTCAATTCTAACGTGAACCAAAAGGATTTAGGGTGCACAAAATAGCCTTGTTTGATTGTCAACAAATAGTAATCAGTGGGTTAACGTCTTTTGATGAAGATTTTATAATTCTCCATACACAACACTCTAAAACAGCTTTGTAAAAAATCAAAAAGCTGTGGAGGCAATCTTTTCATCAACTAACATCTACTCGGCACAATTCAGTGTGACTGAAAAGTACGCAAGAACAAATTCTTCTTGAGGAGCAGTCAGGACTAATCGGTTGGTCAATGGAAAGGCAACCCCATTTCTCTTCTCGGAAGACAATGTAATGCAATCCAAGACATCGTACCATCGCAAACCTGACTTGTGAGGAGATTAGCGTTTTGCTACTGAGATGGGAGGAAACGGGGAAGAGAGCTAGCTGTTGCTTATTTCCACTTCAGCATTATGCAAAGTGATTTTAAAAATTTCTGCAAATTAAAAGAGAATCTCACAAAATTAGCCATATTGCCACTTAGCATAGAGGAGTTTTCAAGGATTTTGCCTATTTTTAATTAGCTAATCATTATATTAAACCCACTTTGTTACCATATTGTCAGCCTTGTCGATAGAACACATTTGCCAAACTGAATCCCACTTAAAAGTAGATGCCAATAAATTGTGTGGATGAGGTGTCCAGACTACGTGATTCCCTTTGCGAGAGATCAATAATTTTGATTGATTAATTAATTACATCGTTCGCGGATCCACCGGATGACTAATGCGTAGTCTGCGCAACAGTGCTGATTGGTCAGCCCTGTTCGTTGACAGTGGAGGCTAGAGGAGGGAAAAATGGTCATAATGGGAAAGCTGTGGAAATGTCTGATAACAACACTAGTAATTTACGCATTCTGAGGTTTGATGCGTAAAAAAATCACACGCAAATGTGCCACGGCGTGAGGAGTCCCATGCACGGCGCCCCATGATGCCTTCTCAAGGGCGAGGAGTAACTCCACCAAAACGCCTCTGGAGTGAGGCATGGGTCTCCACTTTCTCACTTATAATCATTTTCAATTTTATGACTTCGGTCTCTCGCTACCGATTTTTAGGCATTAATTTTCACTTTTCAATTTCATAGAAGGAAACATTCTGTTCTATCTAAACTCAGAGGTTTCCATTACCCTAGTTCGGGAAAATAAGTAGCCTAACTAGGGAGGAACAAGGAAAATAAAGATATCGCAGTATGTGAAGAATGGAAGATAGCAAGGCAATAAGCCTCCTTTTAATAATAATGTTTGAGCAGCCGTGGTTCGGCAAAGCCAGTGAATATTAGTGTTCATAACTGAGGACGCGATCCAATCTATTTAAATACTAAATCATAGCATGCGTAAAACTTAGGAGAAAAACTAAGCTTTTATCCTCTTTGCGAGACGTTTCATTTAAGATTACCACTTTAGTGGGTGAAAATACAAGATAATAAGAGGTTGTGACTTCATCGCAAATGACCTCAGCCATTAAAAGGCCTCATTAAGGCTCTTGAGAGAGGAGCTGCAACTAAATGATAAGTTTGAGGGTCGATTTAAGTATGCGAAGAGGGTAGGAAGGAGTTCCCGCATAGATGGGTTTTAATCCACTTCAAATCTCTCGCTAAACAAATTTTTTCCAAAATGGATTGAGTTAGATTTCTTTCACAGCAGAATACTTTAGCACAGTTTTACCCACCTTAGCAGAAGCAACGCGTTGATGTTTTTGCCATCGAAGGTCAGTACAAGAGCTTAAGGAAGCTTTGTGAATGGCGAAAGGCATTAATCAAACTAAAAAAAGGTTTATTGCAGCAGACTCAGAAGGAATCCTAATAAATTGTAAAATGATGACTGTTTACAAAAGAGAAACTTATCAATATACTGATCAAGCTGTGGATACTCTAAAAGTAACCCGCTCAACGCTACGGTGGAGTGTTAGCGGATCCCCCAATCAGTGAAGCGCTACACACATTCACTCTCCGTTCTTTCTCCCATTCTGATTGGTGTATCAGTTAGCGCGCCCAGGCGAGCCAATGAACACTCTCTCATACCTTTAGTAAGCGTCAAGCCTGCAAACAGTGGGGGGCCCTTGTGGCACTCTTCCCCCCTCCCCCACCCAACCATAACAGTAACAGAAAATGGCTTCCACAATCTACCTCGATCCCCAATATCACAACATGTACTACCATTATCAACCCAGTGGGACGTTATCCCACATCACCCCAGGCGCCTATCGCCATAACGATACTACTGCAGCCGCCACTGCTGCAACCTCCGACGCTCAGTTCTACCATCGTTACTTCAATGCCTACAGCCCTTCCCCACCGCCTCCTCCACCTCCGCTGCCGCCACCACCACCGCCTCTACAAACACAGGCAATCTTTGAACACGTCTGCCAGTGGACGGAGGATGAAGGGTGCGTGCGAAAGATATGCGGTCTGAGATTTCACACCATTGGAGAGATGGTGAACCACTTGACGATGGACCACGTGGGCGGACCGGAAAGGGTGGACCACACCTGCTATTGGCACAACTGCTCACGCCAGGGTCGAGCCTTCAAAGCCAAGTATAAATTGATTAATCATATTCGGGTGCATACAGGCGAGAAACCCTTCAACTGCCCCTTCCCTGGATGCTACAAGGTGTTCGCAAGAGCGGAGAACTTGAAAATTCACAAAAGGACTCACACCGGTAAGTGATCCTACCGATATTGAAGTCGGTCATTTTTTGAATACGCAATACAGCTTAGCTGTTTGAGAGTGAGTCCAACGTTCAAAAGGGTTTGGAATTGGTGATTTAGTTGGGTTGAGGTCTACGTCGAAACCTTGGATGAGTGGCAGCTCCGTGTGGCCAATCAACTTAAAATAAAATCGGAATAGCTGAGGTCATTGCTACTGCCACGAGAGATGGCACATTTTTGCACATTTTGAGCATATAATGTTATTAGTTTTATGAATTTGCATTGTTAAATTGAATTGCTTGATCGCTACTAAAATTTAAAATCATTATACATTTCAAAAAAAAGCTAGTTATCGCCTATAAAAGCACACGTTTCATGATAGAGATCTTGTGGAAAATGTGAAAGAGAATGCTTTTAAATGAACGAAGCTGTTTATCCCTAATTTGCCTCAAGTACGATTATAACCAGTGAACAGAGTCACACTTTGCGTAGATAATTCCAAGTATAAAATCCCTTTACGTCAAGTAAATCCGTATTTTTATGAGTGTATGGAGTAAATCCTTACAATTGAGCGACTTTCCCTCCTCACTTCTGCACTGAGTGGCTTTCACTTTTAATGCCATCGATTTTTTCCCATGAAGCAACAATCGATTTTATCGATTTATAGCGGCATAAATAAGCCCACAATAGCGTGCATTTGAGCTCCACTCAGAGGAGTCGATTGTCACAAGGCCACTTTGTAGCTTTAAGACCACACTGTTGCATCTGCCCATGTTTCAGATGAGAACAAACTGGAATGCCACCACAAGGCAGACCCATGTTAATTGACGTGGTATTGGCAAAAGTGAAAGAGGGGAGGGAAACTCGATTTACAGTCCCCCTTTGACTGTCACACCGCTATGTTGGTGGTTGAGGTGTGGTAAGTGGTAAATGCACATACGGGCAATAGGAGGGTGTTGCTAGGCTCCCCAAATGGCTCCTGCTCGTGTTTCACCCACTACTCGATTGTTGGATGGCCACATAAATGAGAGGGAGAAGAGGGGGAAGAGAGCACTTAATGCAAATCCACCTATTTAGCCATGCTCTTCTCTCAGCTTTCACCAGAAGGGTATGTGGATTGTTATGGTTAAACTAAACCAGTACAACTTTGGAGCACAAATACGTTGTACTATTTGAGTCTGCATTTAGGCCACTGAATTTGATGTTTATGCTGCGAATGAGTGGATGTGATCAGGTTGTCACTGTATTATCTGTTTAGTTGTACTGTTTAAATTAATGCTATTTTTGGAATTTTTTATAAAAATTTGCTCCAAAGAGTGTTAGCTAAAGTGTTTTTCATATTGGTTCAACTGGGCAGGGGTGATTGGTTAATCAGGTCGATGAGAAAGTTGAGGTCATAAAACCATCCATTTTGTTAATATAACCGAAGAATGGGTTGCAGATTTTTCAAAAGGGAATTCAAATGATATTCCCAAAAAATAATATCTTTTACCCATTTATGGAAAAGGTTAAATTATCATAATGCTGTAGGGGACCACACGCGAAGTGCATAAAAGGTCATAAGGAGGAGAAACTTAGCTGACATCGTTCGCTCTATTCACGCCTCAATCAACACTCGCTGTCAGGCTGTTGGTGGAAAATCAAGCACCACAGCTCAGGGCTGTCATTAATTTTTTGGCCAGTTTAACCGCTGTTAAGGGGCTCCATCATCCTACATGTAATTTATTGTTTTTAACTTGCCCGATCCGATTCCTGCAAGTCATTTGGCGGAACCGGTTGGCATGGTTTGATAAGGAATCCGTGTTGAGTACTTGTGTTGACGATGGCATAGTTCACAAAGTTCCACATATAATCCATGTTTACCTCACTTGACTCTGTGATGTAGTGGAAACTTCTAGATTCATCCCTAGTTTCTTAAATAGATAAATCTTGCACACATTATACATATAATTTCATTAAGCACGTCTTTATTGGCTCTATTTTTTTAAGAATCTGTTTAATGCTATGATCTCTTCACTTTACATTCATTTATGTATTTATGTTAGACTAGATCCACCTAAGCTTACCATTTGGAAAAAAAAGTGTTTATCAACTTCTGGTAATACTTCTTTTTTAACAAATTCCTACCAACTTTGATAACACGATTTCAGGAACGGGTTTTTCTCCACTGTTTGAAGTATGAAAACGTGGTCAATTAGCTGAGATGATTGACATGGCGGTAAAGTGTTGCCGACCGTATGAATGAAATTCAATGAGTTGTTAAGCGTTTTCCAGGCGAAAAAGGCACTTTTCACCTCCGGGGTCAACCCATGAAGCTAATACTAGATAATGGAGGTAAGATACCCGACCAGCCTCACCCACCCATGATTGGTCTTTTTCGAGGAGATCAAGGCTTGCTTAACTACACAATCATTAAAGTGTATGTTGGAGGGATTTCTCCTGCTTTCAGTGGTATTATCGAATAAAATAGGAGAAACTCGTAGAAGCTCGCCATTAATGAAAAAAATAGATTAAATTGTGAAGTGCCCTCACTGGGCAGATGGCATGTGAATCTTCCACGAAAGGGGGCAGGGAGGGAGGGTGATAACATCCACCCCCAAGCCTGCCCTTCCGTTCCAAAATTTAACAAGCCACCACGCGACGGGCTTGCTATATGCCAGGTGGTTCTGTACAAATAATCCTGCCACACCAGTGCAGTTGGATTAAGGTAACTTGGTTTGGCCATATTCAAGCTCAAATACCGGTGGCAAACATGTCCGTGGGATCTGACCCTGATCTGAAGCGATTTTTCTGGATTTAATGAACAGTAAGTAGCTATATTCGTCGTTAATTTTTTTCGCCAGTTAATTTTGCCGATTAAGAATTATCTTTTAGAAACGTCTTTAGCAAAATGCGATTTGCAAAATAATGAAGAGCTTTACAAGGTAGGGAGATTTTGGTGAACAGTAGGAATTTTCCAAAAAGCTACGTTAGTCTGAATGTCTTCAGTAATTTTATTATAAACCCATCACCATTAAGTAAGTCAGTGTTTGTCTTCTCTCTTTTCATTAAGAATTTGAAGAGCCGATATTGGAATATTTTGATGCAAGGATTCAAATTGTTTGGTTGTTGCGAGTGTGTTACACTTGCGCTTCGGTTTCATCTCTTCCTGATTTTTTTGATGGATAG